TATGTATCAGATTGACGGCTTGTGTATCTGCAGCCCTATGTTTTTGTGACAAATCCAGCCAGTACGGAGAGATATTTCCTCTCACGTAAGCAAAGAACATACAGTACGTACATGACAGTTGGCCGTTGGCTGAAGTCTTTGCTATGTGTTCAAGAACCACTTTCTGGCAGCAGTCAGCCTCTGTTGATAATATTTCTTCGATGTTTCTAAAGTTGATGACGATGGCTTCAGTAAAGAAAAGCTGATCCAGGTTGCACTTGGATCATATCTGTCAATCAAAAACATGCTAGTACACATTCCTCGTAGATAATTCAGAAAGTGAACAGCCCATATGTAGTGTTGAGTTTTATAGTCAGACAGTCTTTTAAACTACTGTAAGGTTTTACTTATTTAACTAAAACCAGACTCACTTTCTTGCATTTGATGCATCTTGCTACTTACTGGTACCTTTAGCAACACGCCTCTGTCAACACAGTCCCTTGAGATTGTACCAGATGAATCTAATTGCTGGCTCATGGTGTTTGTTGCAAACGACTAATAGGAATGTTTCAGATGTACAGAGGGAATCCTGCAACTAAAAAGATAATGCCAACTTAGAAATACACAACTTGCTTCAGGCTATGAAGTGTCATTTCCGTATAAGAAGACTTCGGTTTTGGACACTAAAGTTGTTAGGCATAACATAATGTATTGTTTAGTTCATGTGAATAATGTAAATGTTTACATGAAATGTGAGAAGTGACGGTACAACAAAGTTGGAACATGTTTACATTTTTTAATATAAATATTGAAACTGTTCATAGTCTCAGGTGATGTATGGAAACAGACGGAGAACTTAAATAATTTAGAAATAAATCAGTAAAAGCTGAACTTATATACAGGCTATCTGCCTCACAGAGTTCTCTGATGGATTCTTTATTCTACTGGAGATGAAGTATCTTATCTGAACCTGCATCTCCTTTATATTAAGTTTCACGATCATCATTTTAAGAAAAGCTGGTGACATAGTTAAGTATTTAGCAATTAAAAAGTTTCCTTAGGAGTTTATCTTGGTGTCTATCTACGCCGGGATCCTGAGTCGTGGCTGAACCTATCACTGCGCTCCTGCCTGACTCTCATCATACTGCTTCCCTGATGGCTCCCACAGGATTGTTGACATCCTCCTGGATTCATCTTCCTATTATGACACAA